TTTGTTGTAATAGTGTTTGTAAATAGGATATCAAGTCCACATCTTGTACAGCAATTAACCACTGGGAAGAATGTATGCAGTGTGTTAATTATTGAAACTATCCTACCAATTTGGTTTGAAACTGTCTCATTGCTATTTGTTTCTCAATAAAATTATGGGAAAAAAAAGAAATGTTGTCAATAGTTTAAATGGGTCATAGGAAGTTGAGATTGTACACTGTCATATCCAGCATTTAAATTTAGTGGATTTTGTGATATTTGTATTGAATATTACCATTTGCTATACTTATAAGGTCAGTTATGTTGGTATCAGAAAGGTACATTTTAATATTTAAGTTATTCTATTTTGGAAATATAAGCTATGTGTGCAATTCTCCAGTATACTCAGTTTATTGTGTAAACAAGATATTTGTTATAATAAAAAAAGAAAAAGAGAAAAATTAACATCCAATAGCACTTCCTCAGTGTGTGGGCTTCCCAATAGCCCTTGGATTAGTTATGTTCATACTTAGAAATAAAGAAATTTAGGATTAGCAAAATTGATAAACTCTCAGTATCTCCCAGATATTAAATAGCACAACCAGGTCTAGCTCCAAATTTGAAATCACCTATGTGCTTTTTATTTTTTCTTTTATTATAGTACTGGGATTAAACCCAGGCCTTTTGTCATGAGCTACTACATATATCTTTAAACAGAGTCTCACAAGGACACTAAATTGCTAAGGTAGGATACTGAACTTGCCATCCTCCTGCCATGGCCTGCCTGCATCAGGATTGCACGCACTCCCTCACCCAGCTTCTGCAGTATGCTACCAGAGCTCACGTGTGGTAGACCGCACTCATTTTCAGTCTCCCTGCAGCTCTCGCCAGGCATTCTCACTGACTGGGTTGGAATGAGGTCGTGGCTGTCTCCATGCCTAGACCATGAATAATGCCCAGGTACCCCCCTCTATCCCTGAGATGCTGAGGCTCCTTCTCCTGCAGAAAGTGTTTGTGCTTTTAAATTCAGTTATTTTATTTTATTTTATTTTTATTTTATTTTTCCATAATTTTCTTTAGAGACATATAGCAATGAGACAGTTTCAAATCAAATTGGTAGGACAGTTTCAATAATTAACACATTGCATACTCTCTTCCTAGTGGCTATTTGCTGTACAAGATGCAGACATGATACCTTCTTTTTTAAGTTCAGTTATTTTATTTTATTTTGTTTTATTTTTATTTTATTTTTCCATAATTTTATTTAGAGACAGTGTTTGTGTTTTTGATGGGTGAAGAGAATTATATCTAATAATATGGGGATGCCATTCCCAATAGTTCTAGACTAATGGTTTGTGGGTAAGCTAACTCCATGTCTCAATCACTTCACCAGGAAAGAGAAGTAATAATACTTCAGACTGGCCCTCTGGAATCAAGATGATATTCAGTGCAGAAACAGCAAAAAGTTGAAACGTTGAACTTTCCATGAAAGGCCATGGTCTACTGAATTTCTCAGATGAAGTTGTATTTAATTTAGCCTACAAGCCTTAAGCGTTTAATCTGAAGTCAACTCAGAGTATAAAATACAAAAGAGAAATAACCCTGCAAATAGAAAAATCTACGCATCCTGATGAAAATTTTTCAAAGTGTCCACCTTAAGAAACTGCATTTACACCTTCATTCATAGCACTGGGTTAGATAGTGATGTTAAGCCCAACTGCCCCTATTACAGGGTAATAATATCATTAAGCTTCTCTTCTGGATGTTTAACAACTAAAGTTTGCAGAACAAAAATTAAAGAAATAGAAGGGCTATGAGGATAGCAAATATTTTGGCCCTAGCCCTTCAAGGTCAGTGAGGACTCAGGACATAAGAGAACCTGTGCTGTGACATCCTGTGACTCAGTGGTGTCCTAAATTTTCTGATCAAGGAGATTATGGGGCCACAGAGGAAAGTAATTAATGATGCATAGTGTGCCTAAGGAGAGTCACATGGAGAGAAAAAATTCTGTCAGGTTTTCACAGAGAACAAATTGGTCAAGCAATGAATGGCCATGACTTATCCACATGGCTGACACTGACAAAAGATCTACAAGGTGCTGTACATGGCTTCAGGGTAAATCCTGAGGGGATTTGACTGATCTTGTCAGATACAAAAATTACATTTTTAGTTATATAGGTCTTGCTTTAACTTGGTCTTAACCATCCAGCAGAAAAGTATAACCACGAGTTATAAAAAGCAAAGCCATATTAATATGCTGAGCTGTAAAAGGCTCAAGTCAGCAACTTTTGATAATTACCAGTTCTGCTGATAACCCACTACTATTAAGGATCATTAGACTACATTGGGTTAATTTGCTGAATTCAAGTACCTACAATATTTGAACTGGCATGAAGTATGAAAAGGTTCTTTAAAGATTTCTCCAAATATGGCTTCTCTAACAGCAATGGAACACCCATCTCTGAAAAACAAAACCAAAAAGAGGGATATAAATAAGGACCATTTTGTAGTGAAAAAATATTTATGTATATACAAAATAGTTAGGATAGATACACAGCTACTTTCTCTTAGTTCAATGAGAAGAAAGGTTTGTACTAATATTGTTTAGACAAGATATCATGTCTGTATCTTGTCCTCTGAATAATCACTATGAAGACAACATTATGCATTATTAATTATTGTAACTGTCCTACTACCCTGTTTTGAAACTTTTCCATTGTTATTTTATTTTCTTATTGAAATGAATAAAAATTAAAAACAAGCAAGAAAAAATAAATAGTGCATTACATGAGGAGGCAAAAAAATTGACTGAATTAATTTTGCTCTCATTATAGAAAATATTACCAAATTTATATTGACATATAAAAAAGTAGCCAGGCATGCTGGCACATTCCTGAAATCCCACATTTGGGAAAATGAGGCAGAATGATTACCATGAATCCAAGGCCACCGAGGTTATATAGCATGTTTCAAGGCCAGACTGAACTACATAGCAAGACAATCAGGCAAAACAGCAATTTAAAAAATGGATAGCCAATTTTTAAAGTTATTGCAGAGGTTGTCTATTAATAAAGCAACAAAACAGTAGTGTCCCAAATTTTCTGATCAAGATTATGGGGCCAAAGAGTAAAGTGATCGATGATGTAGAGTGTGCCTAAGGAGAGTCACATGGAGAACAAACATTCTCTCAGGCTTTCACAGAGAGCACATTGGCCAAGCAATGGCCGTGACTCATCCACATGGCTGACACTGACAAAGATCTACAATCTGAGGTACAGGATCTCAGGATAAATCCTGAGGGGATTTCACTGACCTTATCAGAGCCAAAAGCTACAATTCTTGTTGCATAGGTCTTGCTTTATCTTGGTCTTAACCATCCAGCAGAAAAGCATAAAAATGAAATATAAGAATTAAAGCCATGCTGGTATGTTGAGCTGTAGGGGACTCAGGTCAACAATTTCTGACATTGTCAGTTAAGCAAAAGACCCAATACTATTATGGACTACTGGACTCTTTTCAAATATTTTGCTGAGTTAACACATCTATAATATTCAAATAATGGAAATAAACAAAAAAGGGGATACAGATGAATGTCCATTTTGTATCTGTGTATTCAAAATGGTTAGAATAGATATATAGTTACATTCTCTTAATGAAAAGAGGGATTTGTTCTAATAGTGTTTGTAAATAGGATATCCTGTCCACATCTTGTACAGCAATTAACCACTGGAAGAATGTATGCAATGTGTTAATGATTGAAACTGTCCTACAAATTTGGTTTAAAAAAAATAAAATTAAAATATCTTTAAAAAATAGCAGTGGGGGCGCCTGGGAGATGGCTCAGTAGAATAAGCACTTCCCTGGCAAACGCAAGGGTCTGAGTTCAATCCCCGGTTCCAGGAAAAAAAAAAAAAAAGTAAACTTAAAAAATAGCAGTGGGTTAACTATTATCCTAGACCTCCTTTTCTTGATATATGTGGTAATTTTTTAAAAATTCTTTAGCAAGTCTATATTCTTCTGAGTAAATCTGCTTCTAGAGAAAAGGCTTCCTTACTAGCATATAATGTTAGAGAATGGACATTTAGGTTTGGATATTTTAAAAACTGGATACAGGGCTTCACTACACAGTTCAGACTCAGAGAGATCTTCCTGTCGCAGCGTCTTCAGCACTAGGATTACAGGTGTGTGCCACCATACCCAGGCTCTGGCGCCAGCATGTCATGCAGTACCAGGAATCAAACTTGGGTCTTTGTGCTTGCCAGGCAGGAGCTTGGACTGCTGAGCTATCTCCCCAGCCTGAGAATGGATATTTAAACTGTAAACTATTGTCTTATGTCCAAAACATACCATAAAGTTTTCCTGTGGGGTGCATGTGTGAGACCTGTGAAACTTTAGGCACATTTCTGACTGAAGAAAAGACACCTAACCACTTAAAAAAAAAAAAAAAAAAAAAAGGCTACTATCATCTTCAATAAATTACTGATTTTTTTTCTCTCTTCATTGATTGTAGGAAACTATACAACAATGGCTTTACTTCAATCCAAGGACATGCTTTCAATGGGACAAAGCTGGATGCTGTGTAAGTCGTTGGTAACCACAGAAACTGTCACCCCGGTCATACACTTGCCAAAAAGTTAGAGTATCATGCTCTCAATTGTCTTGTTGGGGTGGAGGTTGGGCACCATTAGGGTTGATTTCAGTCATTGTTCAAAATATGGATTTATAGGGGAAGTTATAAAGGAGTCTACAGAGTAGCATGAATTCTTATCAATCAAATTTATTGACAGAATTATAGAGACTTTCCATCTTAACTTTACTATGCTAATTAATCTCACACAATCCTTCATTTACTTCCTACCATAATTACCAAACACCGACAGGGTCTCACCAACAGTGCTGTCCACTGGCAAAGCCAAGATGAATAGAAGCAGCATGCTCCCTGCCCACAATAAGGTGCTTGCAGACTCAACTCAAGGGTAACAGGGTCAAAAATCCAAGAGCCTTATGGGGAAATGTGAACTCAAATCAAAATATGCACTAGGAAATAACCAAGTGCTAAATATCCAACAACTCTGGCCTCCTTGCTTAAAGATCTAAGCACAATTTTCTCTGGATTTGTTTTACCTCCCAGCTGTTTAATTACCATTAATTTTAATATTGCATGAATTTCACCAAATACTATCTTTGATTTGGCTAAAAAAAACATTACCCTTAGGGAAATGGTCTTCCTAATTCTAAATTTCTATGAATAGGTTATTGAAACTACTATGAAGCTACTAAGCTACTTTGTAGATTCTTAGAGAGTACAGCTTTCAGGAGATTATCATGCTCTTCTAGGTACTGGGAACATGAAAAACTGACAACAAAGATCCACAAGGGTAGAGATATTAAAGAAACTCTCAAGCAGGGAGACCAGAGCTGAGAACATAGCTCCTGAATTCACTGTATGCTGTCACTTCTTGATTAAACCAAAACTGCTTTTCTAGCTGGATGAGGAAAGGGTCTGAAACAATGGAGCGACGGAAATTCATTCCTCAAAATTTTACACAAAGGAATTTATAGATTTTTTTTTTTAATGTCTTTGGTACAGGGTCTCACTATGCAGCTCAGACTCATAGTGATCTTCCTGTTTTCAGCCTCCCCAGCACTGGGATTACAGGCATATGCCACCATGCCTGGTCTCTGTGGCTGGCTCAGTCCACTGAGCTATCTTGCTGGCCCACAAAAAGGATTTTAAAACCCAAGTTAATGAGCTAGACTTCAAATTATTTGCTCATCTTGCCATATTTAATAGTTAGAAAATATGGTCCTCATGGGCCATCCAGATAGCCCCCTGCCCCTACCCCATGTGCTGTGCCGCCCCCCACCCCCAGGTGTGCTGAGGTGGGAACTGAGACTGGGAATGGTGGTGCATACCTGTAATCCCAGTGCTTGGGAGGCTGAAAACAGGAGGATCAGTACGAATCTGATCTGTGTAGTGGGACCCTGTGGACCCTGTACTAAATACATTAAAAACGGAAAAAGAAAATGCGATCCTCAAGCTTTCTCAGTTATTTCTTGGGTACAGAGATTTAGAACATAAAGTACAGATAAACTTTTAGGGATACACAGAAGTGGTTTCAAATGTGGCCAGAATTCAGAATCCTGACTAGGCTCTGCCACCAGATATTCATTCTCATTCTCATTCATATTCTCTCTCTCTCTCTCTCTCTCTCTCTCTCTCTCTCTCTCTCTATCTCTCTCTCTCTCTCACCACAAACTGAACTTAGGGCCTCATGCTTGCCAGGCAGGCACTGTGCCACTGAGCTCTATCCCCCATCCACCACTAGATATTGCGAATAAGCAGGGCAGCAGAGATTTTAAAATCTCTCCAGGTGACACGGAGCCAAAGTTAAAAACCACTTCTGTGGAATATGTTATCATCCATTTTATCCAACTTTCACATTTACATAAGAAGGGAGTAGAACACAAAGGACACATAATTTTTTCAATGTGGCATTCGAACTGTGATGGAGCGCTCTAGTACCTGAGCCAATGCGGAGACCTGGATCTCAGTGTTACACTCCCTGCCCTCTGCTCTAAGTCATTACTGGTGACTTACCTGCCACCACCAAGGCTGAAAACCCAGCTTCTCCATCCATTGCTGCTTGGTTGTTAGCCTTGGAGGATATGCAGGCTCCTTAGCTCAGTCCATCAAAAATATGAAATATTGAAGTTAAAACACCTGGCACCTACAAAGAAGGAGGTCGTGTGGAAGAAAGAATTCAACTCAAAACTCCAGAATACAGAAGGAGTTTCAGGCAGTTATCACACCAAGAAAGTGTCATTGGTCAGCGAGAATCTATCAATGCAGCCAGACCACCCACTCGGCAAGCTTCCAACAGAAGTCAGGGTGGAAGAGGCTGAGGAAAAGTCTGGGATGGTACATGTTATCAAACTTAATGAATTGAAGGGCTGGCCAGAGAGCTCAGCAGACTAAAGGCACAGGGACTGGGGTTCAATCCCCAGTGGGCGGTGCCAGCCCTGCCCCCAGGGCACTCTGAGACTGGGTGTGGTAGTGTGTGCCTATAATCCCAGCACTTGGAAAGCTGAAAACAGGAGGATCGCTATGGGTCCAATCTGTGTAGTGAGACCCTGTAGACCCTATATAAAAAACATAAAATTAAATAAAAAGAATTGAGGTTAAATTAGGTCACATATACTGACCACTAGCTTCAAAATATCTTGCTCCAGACCACAGTTGATCTCCTGTTACTTTTAGAGAACTCTGCCAAGAATTCGAGGGCTTTATCAAGAGGGTTGTTCTGTAATCAGGAGACCTTGCTGGGCTAAGTGGATCTCAGTGTAGACCTAGGGGCCTATTATTTTATAGTTTTGGCCCAAAAGTAAGGATACTAAAAGGGTTTAGAGACATTTCCTATTGAAGAGATGAAAAAATTAACAAGGGAACAATTATCCTCCTGGCTCCTCCCCAGAATTCATGGTAAAAGAATGAGATGGGAAAGAGGAAGCCTTTCCCAAATTATGTTCCTTGAACTCTCTTTCCAGGGTAAGTGAATGAGTGTTCCTTTAAAGCAGCAGCTCACGATCTCACCAGGGTCATCGAAGCATGTGGAGGACCTCTCAGGCCTTATAGAGCAGTCTGAATTCAATGTGCAAGAGAGGGTGGAGCTTCCCAGGGAACTCCTGGTTTCTCTAGCATCGCTTCCCACATGATGTTGCACAGAACACTCTGGGGGTACTATTACTGCTAGGAGGAAGAAAAAAAGTCTCAATATCAAATATGCAATCTTGGGTCACTAAAATATGAGGGGACTTTTTTTCTTCATCAACACCCAAATTTAGAAGCAGACATTAACAGGATATTCCATCAATTTAATGCAATTCTGACACTATCTACCTAAGGATAGTGTCAGACCCTGCCAATTCAGTGAACCCACAGACTTGCCCCTCTTCTGACGCCATTCTCAAGCCCTGTTTATGACCTGCTTCTGTCCAATCAGCAACACTCTTGGAGGTGCTAACTCTTTTTTATCCAACTAATTGGCCAGATCAACTCACATAGCTCAGGGAAAGACTTTACTGATGCTAAAGGATGTTTAAAGACCACCGGGGGGATGATGTGCAAGGCAAAGCACATGAGAAGTACACAACTTCCACACCTCTGGGCATGCCACTCTCTAGAACTTCTATGTCTTCAGCTATCTGGAGGCTCAATACAACTAGGCGCTTGCAGGAGGAGGGGAGATGAGGCAAGGTATGCAGAATTCATTCACAAGCATGGCTGATGACGTCACTGGCCATGAGGGACCAACTCAACCTCTTTTTTATCCTCCAGAGGTTGGGGTGGAGGGGCAGAATTAGAAGTCCTGACCCTCTAATAAGGCCATGATCTTTCTGGTGACAAGCCTCTGTTCTGAAGCCAGTCACCAATCAGCATGCAAAAGACACTCTTATCATTCAGGAGAGCCTAAGAGTTTAGGAGCTGTGTGCCACAAAGCAGGAATCAAGATCAAGGTCATACTACTTAAGCCTACGAAGAGAGTATGCAGAAGGGTTCTGTCTTCCCAGTAGATTTCCCTCAGATCACAGAGTCTTTTAATACATTACCTGCTGGGAGGCAGGTAAATTGAACAAGGTGTGTTCTAGCGGCAACCTGAAGCGTAGCCTAACTAGCAGAGGTTTCAGCTTATCTCATAGACTTCTGAAATTAATCCTATGAACAGACCATGCAGAAGCGTTCTGTCTTACCAGTAGATTTCCCTCAGATCATATTATGAGCTCTGTAAGAGGGTTGACTGGAGGACTGACAATGAATTTTAATTCACTGGTGCCTTTGTTGGGGTTTGTTTTAGCCACCAAAACTACCCCTTGAAATACAGGGAAGAAATCAGTGTACCATTTTCAATATTCTCCACCTTTTATGTTAAATATTAAAAATACTTAGGCTGGGGATATAGCTCTGCAGCAGAAGCACCTGCCTGGCAAGCTCAGAGTCTTGAGTTCAATCCCTGGTCCAATAAATAAATAAATAAATAAATAAATAAATAAATAAATGTACTTGGAAGAGTCAAAAAAATGTGACAAATATTTCTTAGGCTAACAATTCTGTTCCCTGGTTCTTAAAAGTCCAGATTGGGGGTTAGCAATCTTTCTGGCAAGAGCTCATAAAGCAAGTATTTTGGGCTTTGTGGAGTAAATGGTCTCAGGTCCACCACCCAATTCTACTACTATAGTATAAAAGTGTCAATAGTCTTTACAGAAGCAAATGAATGTGGCTGTTTCAATAAAACCTTATTCACAAAACCTGGTGAAAAGCAGTGTTTGACTAGAGAGTAAGAGTTTTGCTGCTCTAGGTGAAGATGTTTGGTGAAGACGACCATGGTGTGTGCTTAGTTATGCCATCCGTCTCTCAACTCCTAGAAAAAGTTAAAGGGTAACCATGAAATCAGAAATATCTGAGGGCTGGAGGGGAAGCTCAGTGGTAGGAATCCATCCCCAGAATCACACAAAAAAATTATCTGGATGAAACTATTTCAGGATTAGAAAGTTCAGATCCAATCATAACAGTAAACAAAG